GTGCCCAAATACAACAGATGATATGTCGAATGCGTATTTGCGTTCGGGGTGTCCCAAGCCCTTTTCAGCACCTCTTCGTGTATAGTCGCAGACGCAGGAAGGGAAAAATAAAAATATTATTCTCTACGTAGTAAAATTACAACCAGCGATTGTATCGTGTCGACGATAGAAATGAATTCCTCAAAATAGAATCAAGCAAAAAAACTGAATCGATGTGGAAGATGAAGTAGTCACTTCGCAAACTGAGATTTGTGAAGTTTGTACAACAAGGTGTCAACAGATAATTCTGGAATTGTGGAAAAGGGCGTTTCTTATGTAAATGGAGTGGGTGTGTGTGTGTAGTGGTGGTGGTGGTGGTGAGGAAACGTGCTGAATAAACAGCACGTGATATATTGATCAGAAAATAGAATTTTATGCTAAATGAAAAAGACTCCATACTGTCGGAAGCTGTAGTCAAAAATAACCTGAGCTTTGAAGGTCGCTTCTACATATAATTTATTTGACGTTTCTAGCTGTTTATAGCGAATACGCACACATACTGACAGCCAGTTAAAGATCAGTTGGCTAAAAACAACAATGGATTCTTGTTAACACTTGAGTTTGACAATAGAAGCGGAGCGCAAATGTATATCAGCGACCAGCCAGGTATTTATATAGACGAACATCAGACATGTCGACAAGCATATAAGAACAAGGTGATACATATATATATATATATATATATATATATATATATATATATATATATATATATATCACCTTGTTCTTATATATCTATATCTATCTATCTATCTATCTATCTAGATAGATAGATGATAGATAGATAATGAGTGAGTGAATATGTAGATAGGTATCTATGAATAGAATTATATATATATGTGTGTGTGTGTGTGTCTGTATCTATGTGTATATATATATATATATATATATATATATATATATATATATATATGCCAGGAGCGAGGGGAGGGATATATATGAACAGAGTGATAGATAAATATATAGATAACCATATACACTGATTTAGTCATATATGAACAGAATGAGATAGATAGATAGATAGATAGATAGATGTGAACAGACTGAGATAGATAGATAGATAGATAGATAGATAGATAGATAGATAGATAGATAGCTAGTGAGTATATATATGAGAGGCGTGAGGGATATATATATATATGAATGAGATCGATGAATAAATAATAAGTGAGCGAGTGAGCGATATATTGATAAGCATATATGAATAGAATTTTTATATTTATATATATATATATATATATATATATATATATATATATATATATATATATAGTTTATGAAAAACTAGGTAATCCTTATGGGTAAACCTATGCAGGATAAAATCAAACATATATATATATTTGTTTTTTTTACCCTTGGAAATGAGATCAGAGGAACGAAGAAAAATCCTTTCCCGGGGAAAGAAAATATAATCAATGGACCCTTAAGGTGGTATGTTCTCTAATTTAATTTTTACACACACACACACACACACACACACACACACACACACACACATATATATATATATATATATATATATATATGAGAGGGATGAGGGAGGGATAGATATGAACTGAGTGATAGATAAAACTATAGATAACACACTGAACAGAAGTAGATACCTAGCTATATAGATAGATAGTGAGTGAGTCGGTGAATCAGTGATAGATAGGCATATATGAATACAATTTTGTATATATATATATATATATATATATATATATATATATATATATATATATATATATATATATAATTATTAAAATATTTTTATTATAATAGAATACAATAAAAACATTTTATATCGCTACACAAAAACTTTCATGTCGTAACGATGTAAAATGTTTTTATTATAATAACAAAATATTTTAATAATATTTTGCTCTACGTTGCTTTGACCACTTTTTTGTAATTTTGTGATTAGTAGCCATTTTAATGTTTATAAATTCTTTCTTATGTATGCAAATATTTAAGTAAATGCTCTGTTTTATAATAAACAGTATTAAACAACATTTACCGGCCTGAATGTCCGAGAAATTGTCATAGAAAATATTCGTACTCCGACAGGAATCGAACCTATATGGAACCGTCACTTAGCTTGACGTGCCTTTACGGATTGTAACCCATTTTACTGTTTTTAAACTAAAATCTTCCACGATTCTCTCACGTACATTCATATCTGCTCGATGCGTATCCAAATGTAAACAAATGACGTCACACATTATAAAATGGACAAAGTCCGACAATTATTTTAAGACATTTTTATGTTTATACATTCTTTTTATAGATACAAATATTTAAGTAAATGCTCTGTTTATAATAAACAGTATTAAACAACATTTACCGGCCTGAATGTCTAAGGACGAATATTTTCTATGAAAATTTCTCGGACATTCAGGCCGGTAAATGTTGTCAATACTATTTATTATAGCATTTTAGCTCGGTTTTTGAAACATGGTAATTCCTGTGTAGCAGAAGAAACTATATTTTAAATCAGTTAATTTATAATATATATATATATATATATATATATATATATATATATATATATATATATATATATATATTATTCATTTACTGATTAATTTCTTTAATATTTTAAGTAAATTATAAGTAATTATTTATTAAAATAATTCATTTTACTAAATAATTACTTATTTTCATTTATCTATTTCTATTTATTTTATTTATTTGTATATATTTTATTTATTATTATTTACTAATTAGTTTCTTTAATATTTTATTTTATCTATTTTTTGTTTTATTTATATATATTTATTTATATATAATTTATTTATTTTAATTTATTTTAGTAAATAATTACTTTAACATCTTATTTTCATTTATTTAATTTATTTTTATTTATTTTATTTATTTGTATATATTTTATTTATTATTATTTACTAATTAATTTCTTTAATATTTTATTTTATCTATTTTTGTTTTATTTATTTATATATATATTTATTTATATATAATTTATTTATTTTCATTTATTTTACTAAATAATTACTTTAACATCTTATTTTCATTTATTTAATTTATTTTTATTTATTTTATTTATTTGTATATATTTTATTTATTATTATTTACTAATTAATTTCTTTAATATTTTATTTTATCTATTTGTTGTTTTATTTATTTCTATATATATATTTATTTATATATAATTTATTTATTTTCATTTATTTTACTAAATAATTACTTTAACATCTTATTTTCATTTATTTAATTTATTTTTTATTTATTTTATTTATTTGTATATATTTTATTTATTATTATTTACTAATTAATTTCTTTAATATTTTATTGTATCTATTTTTAGTTTTATTTATTTATATATAATTTATTTATTTTCATTTATTTTACTAAATATTTACTTTAACATCTTATTTTCATTTATTTTATTTATTTTTATTTATTTAATCTATTTTTTATTTATTTGTACATATTTTATTTATTATTATTTACTAATTAATTTCTTTAATATTTTATTTTATCTATTTTTTGTTTTATTTATTTATATATATTTATTTATATATAATTTATTTATTTTCATTTATTTTACTAAATAATTACTTTAACATCTTATTTTCATTTATTTTATTTATCTACATATATTTTAATTATTATTATTTACTAATTAATTCCTTTAATATTTTATTTTCAGCTCGCAGAACAGCCTCTTCTTGACGCCATCAAGATCACACTGGGTGATAGATATTCCGACAATATGGACATTATTTACAAACTGGTTATTAGGTTTTTGCTAACTGAAGTTACAAAAGGCGCCAGGGTTAACGTATCCTGATGCGAGACCGCCATAACCGAAGCATATTATCTTCTTCCTTTTTTTTTTTTTTTTTTATCTGTTGGAGTGTCAAGTTAGTTGATCTAGTGACCTAGAATTCACCATGCAAAAAAGTCAACATTTCTTAAAAAAATAAAATAAAAAAATAAATAAATAAATAAGCAAGAGTCTCTCAGTAATGCATAGAACTGAATGAATAAACTAATGCACTCTTTTCGCTGTTATAACCACTTGTAAATCTGCATTAGCTGAACTGGATTTTGGTGGACATCACGCTGACGTCACCGACCATATCAGCCAAGATAAACCCGATCTGAGAGGACGGCTTAGTGACCAAAATGACACCATATGTACGAATCCTAAACTGTCCGGTCACAGATTGGTGTTTAAGACTTGTTGTCAGGCTCAGTATAAATTATTAACTCTTTGTAAAATTACTATTTTTACGTGTCAGTAAATCAACATAAAATAAACGTATCAGTGACAAAAAAAATATTTCTTTCTTTCTTTCTTCCAGCAATGATTCTAGTTCAGTTATTTTCAGACTCAAGAAACAACGAATAATAAAACCAGTCCACCGTCATGAAAGGCAAAGAAACCACTAACACACAATGGGTTACTGAGTGTCAAAGAATAAAAAAAGGAGAAAAATTATTAAGGAGTGAGAACAATAAAGGAAGAGGAATCAAGAAGACAGTAGATAACGATTGACATTGCATTTAAATTTTTGAAGATCAAAGTTGGCTGGAAAGCATGAAGCCGGAAGAGAGTTCTACAGGCGAGAAGTGAGAACAATAAAGGAAGAGGAATTAAGAAGACAGTAGATAACGATTGACATTGCATTTAAATTTTTGAAGATCAAAGTTGGCTGGAAAGCATGAAGCCGGAAGTGAGTTCCACAGGCGAGAAGTGAGAACAATAAAGGAAGAGGAATCAAGAAGACAGTAGATAACGATTGACATTGCATTTAAATTTTGAAGATCAAAGTTGGCTGGAAAGCATGCAGCCGGAAGAGAGTTCCACAGGCGAGAAGTGAGAACAATAAAGGAAGAGGAATCAAAGAAGACAGTAGATAACGATTGACATTGCCTTTAAATTTTTGAAGATCAAAGTTGGCTGGAAAGCATGAAGCCGGAAGAGAGTTCCACAGGCGAGAAGTGAGAACAATAAAGGAAGAGGAATCAAGAAGACAGTAGATAACGATTGACATTGCATTTAAATTTTGAAGATCAAAGTTTTGAAGCCGGAAGAGT